GGGGGGGGGGGGGGGGGGGGGGGGGGGGGGGGGGGGGGGGGGGGGGGGGGGGGGGGGGGGGGGGGGGGGGGGGGGGGGGGGGGGGGGGGGGGGGGGGCGACGGTTGCCTGATGGACGGCGGTTGGGTTGCAATGCTCTTGTGTGTGATGGTTGGTCATGTTGCCTTCGCCACGCCCCGGCAATTCACGCGTGCTATCATTTTAAGACTCCTGCTCAGCTCGTCATGAGTATGTTGTGCTTGTAAAGGTAAGGTTGTTGGCGGCTCGCGTTGGCAGCCCATGATGTAGAAAACTTCCCAAGACAAGCGAATCGCCCGAACAAGCCAAAGAGAGAAGTACAGTAGACACGAGACCCTGCTTACCTACACAACAACGGGAGCACCAAGCACCTCCTTCCCCTTCACCCGCCTGTCCCATTCTCTCCGCTCCTGCCTCCCTCTCCAACCGCAACAGGAAGCAGAGGGAGAAGAAGGAGGCTTCGAAGAAGGCGAAGGCCGAAGTCCCCGCCATCACCCTAGAGTTCGTCATCCGCGAAAACCCTGGCATCAGCATCCCCGACGCCTTCCACAAGCTCGAGGTACTCCGGGCCCAGGAAGAGCAGAAGAAGGCAAGGGGGTCCACCGCCGCAGCGGCCGCGGCTTTAGCGGCAGGAGCACCGACAACGGCTACGGCAGCGGCGGGCGGGGAGGCGGGCGGCCCTACGGCGGCGGCGGGTGTCGGTGCGGCAGCGCCGGCAGCAACCGCGGCTGGCGCAGGGGCTGAGGTGAGCGAGCGGCGGCTTCTGTTGGATGCCAAGCTGGGGCGGGTGGTATGTTGATGCCGTTTGCTGTGTTGTGTCAGCTGTAGTCTTGTTGCCCGTTTTTCCAGGAGGCGGCGGTGGCGGACGGCTGCTTGTGGTGGCGGTGGTAAGACGAAGCCCATGGTCTTGTTTGGGGTGACGTTGTTGATTTCTGGTGCTTGTGCTGTTTTGATGGTGACAAAGCAACAACCTTGACCTTCTGCTGTTTGGAAACGATTAATTCTGTTGACCATTGCACCCTCGGCCAATACCTCTCCTGTTCCCATTTCCTTTTCTTTCTCCAACCTCGTTCCAGTCGGCCATCGCCTCCAGCGCCATGGCTCACGTGTCGGCCGCCCTGGCGTACCCGGGAGGAGTGGCGGGCTTGCCAGGTATGGCAGGCGCTGGAGCCACGGGTGCACTGGCTGCGGCTGCGGCAGCAGCAGCGGCGCCCTCCTCGGCAGCTCTAGCGGCCAACAAGGTCATGCGGGAGTTGCACGTGGGCGGTCTGCCTCACGGGGTATCGGGGGTTCAGCTGCAGGTGGGTGATTGGGGGGGTGGGGTCCCGCACTGATGACCATCATGTCGCACAAGCAATTGGTGGAACCCCGTACATGTGTGTCGCAGGAGATAGGACAGCACTATTTAGCTGTGACGACCAACAATGCAATGAAGGTTGTAAGTATCTTGCGTGTAACGGGACTTCCATTGCAGGGATGAAATTTGTGGACGATGCCTGATTTGTTGGCGGCCGTCGGTACCCCGAGTGTGGAAATCCCGAGTTTTTTTTGCGCTTGGCATGGCTTACACTGTGATACTGTGGACATACATCGGAAGACACAGCACACAGGACCTTCCCCAGCAGAGCTATTTTCAACCCGCTCACATGGATGACATGTCCTGGTGCCGAAGATAACCCTCCCCCGTCCCGTCCCGTCCCTCGACCCGGACTCGAAATTCGTCTCTTGTCTGTTATTTCCCCCAGGACTTTTTGAACGCAGCCATGCAATACCTCAAGATTGCCACAAGCGCGGGCAACCCGGTGATAAGGATAGCCATGGGACCAGACGGGACCAACTTCGCCTTCATCGAGCTTCGCACGGAGGAGGCGAGTGCCGTCCTTTAGTTATTTTTTTTCTTAATCCGTAACAATACGTATCACAAAACGAACCTATCTCTTCCTACAGATTGAGAGTCCAGGATAAATAAAGAGCAATGAATCCATAGCGTTAGCGGAGGCAACAATGTACCCATGATATCGCCCCGTTTCTTTTTCGTTTTTGGTCTGCCGTGGTTGATATACTGTACCGTTGCGGCACGCCCAATGTTTTTGAGAAACTGTTTCCTCACAATTTTCCTCAAAATAGACATGACGGAGGAAGAGTGTGTGCTTTCTGTCATGCCAAGGTTCTGGCGGCGCATTTTTTTTGCGCTGCTGCTATAGTGCTTCTGCGTTGTCCACGTCTGATGTGTGTACGTCATTCTGATGTTCACCTGATACACTGTACTTTCCGCTGACCGCTGAGCCAAGAACTGGAAGTACTTTATTAATGTCTGTTGTCACCGACTGATGCACGCACTCTCTTATTTTGTGTTCCTGCCGGAGCAGGAGACTAACGCCACTTTGGGGCGAATGTCAGGCATCCAGTGCGGTACGGGTCACCTTAAATTCGGCCGACCCAAGGCCCATGCGGCGGTAAGAGAGGCTAGCTGCCATGTCGTCGTCGTTGTGCCCTTCTCCGATACCGTATATGACACAATATAACACACCCCCTGGACCAATTTTCAAAGCTCCATTACTCCACGACGAAGAGGATGCGTAAACGAAACGATACATTTTTGGAAAGCTCCCGACGAGAAGGTTCCAACGCCGCCGTTTTCAGCGCCGTGACTCTTTCTGTTGTTGAGAAATCGAGATTTGAACATCGGTCCAGAGGGTGTGTTATCTTGTGCCCTTCTCCGATACTTGCACGAGCTAAGTAGTATGCTCCTGGTTTGGTACTGTATGTTCGTGATGATCTTGGTGGTATATGGACCCACCCACCCCACCCGCCGCCGTTCCCGTAAAGGTTTAGCCCAAGATACCCACTCGCTGCGGTGAAATGGGTGCGTCTGTCGTCGAGGCAGTGGTTGAATCGACGCTGCACGTGTCGTAGGTAAATGCGTTGGCGTTGCTTCAATTCTTGGACGACATCTCTTGAAGCTGAAGGTGCTTGGATGGAAATTGGCGGTGGTGTTCCTTTTCATCTGCCAATGGGCCGCCTTCTCTGATAGTATCACATCACCAGTGTCGATCAACACTCCCCACATTTTGACACCACACCGCGCAACACGCTACACACACACCACACACGCGTTCTCGTCTCCTATCCTACAGCTGTAGTACCACGTCTTTCTTAAAACCGCAACCAAACCGGGCTATAAAAGCGCCATTACAGCAGTACGTGAGTCGTCTTTGTTATATTGCAGCTCTAGCTCAACCCCTCCGTCTCCCTTCATAGCTCGTAGTGCAGCTGAATCGTGCTGACCCTTGAACCCGCCCCTCCCCTCCCCCGATCCCACCGCACCGCACCGCACCGCACCGCACCCTCCCGTTGTTGTTTTTGACAATTGGTGCCATCGTAACGAAATTGGGAAAAAAAACAACTCAACGAAAACAACGTACAAACAGACCTTCCCTATAGTCGCACCCCAGCCATTTCCCGCAGCAACCCTTGCGGGAGCTTCCGCTTACGCTACGGCCATCGCTGTCGGGGGACCAACGGCAGAAGAGGCGGCGCAATCGGCAGCGGCGGCTGCCGAGCAGGCTGTGGCGGCGGCGGGTTTCCAAGCTTTGACAGGCAAGGGCTTGATGCTGTTGTTGTTGTTGGTGTGCTTGTCGGTGTCGGTGTTGTCGGTCAAACGCGCGTTGTTCTCTGAGAAATCGCTCAGCACGAGCTAGCAATGTTGCACATGCAATTAGTCCGAACCTTTGAGCTATAGATAGCGTTGCAAAACAAGCGGAACATGGGTCGATCGATCCTTCACCAAAGTAAGAGGAACGTAGAAACGCATAGAATAGAATAGAATCAACCGGGAGCATGTTGGGGATCTGGTGTGATTTGCGGTGTTGTGCAGGGGTGGCGCTGCCTGGAGGCGTCGGCGGGGACCCGTCAGCTGCGGCGCGGGCGGCGGCGGCGGTGGCGACTGCGGGGATTGTTGGCGGGGGCGGCGGGCCCGGAGCGGCGGCGGCGGCAGCAGCTGCAGCAGCAGCGGTGGGAGCGTCGGTGTGTTTCATTTCTATTTATTTGTTTTGGTTTGTCGAGTTTTTTCCCGTGTCCGTATGTAGATACGGTAACTTAGTGTAGGATGGAACAGTTGGTGGCATTACCTCCGGAGGCTAGTGAAGCCCCCGCTCAATGTCAGTAACCCCAAACATCCTTCCAGCCCTGATTTGGAGGTTTTGGGGAAATCGATCAGATTGGATATTCTCAGGAGGTTATGGGTAGAATGTATTGGTTGCCTTGTCTTCCGTTGCCCTATGTAAAGCGAAGGCTCACTGCCGTTGCCGTTGTTGTTGTTGTCGATGCTAGGAGTAGTGATGGTTTTGGTGATTGTGGGTGAGTGATGACCTCACGAGACCTCTCCGCACGCAAACACAACAACCTCGCAATCTTAGGAAATTAAGCAATGAAAATGAAAATGTGTATGCGGACGGTGACAGGGCGCGACTGCCGTGGCTCCTAAGAAGGAGGAGAGCAGCGTCCTCATGGTCATGAACCTGCCCGATTCGCTCACGGACGAGCACGTGAGGGAGCTGCTCAGCCCCTTCGGAGAGCTCAAGAAGTTCAACCTTCTCAAGGTGAGAGGGCGTGGCGTCATGGAGCGGCGGCGTGGGAACACCTTGGAACGGAATGTTAAATGCTGTTTCCGTCTTGGCTGAGAAGTTAATCTGATCTGTGTGTTCAACCTTCTCGAGGTTAGAGGGCGTAGGAGAGCGGACGGACGGGGAACACTCGAACGTGAAGTTGCTTCTTCTGTCTTTGCTTGGGTTGATCTCTTCTGTGTGTTGAATCTTGTCGAGGTAGAAGGGCGCGGCGTCATCAAGAGTGGCGGCGTGGCGTGGGATTGCGCTGAAAGCACGAAAGGAGGGCGTGTATTATAGTAGAGCGACGGCGTTGGAAAACGTTTGAACAGGAAGCTGATTGCGCTGTAATTATGGGTGCATGAAGAGGTGGATGTGTGCGTTGGACGGGTCTTGCAACGATACTGCTGTACGGTCTCAACCTGTGCGGGAGGAGGCGGGGTCGAGTTTGTCGAACGTTGTCCAGGCTTGTTATCGTATATTGCGTGCTTGTTGACTGCTTGGTGTAGGCTCTTGTTTGTCATTTTGTGCTGGCGTGAAAATGGCGTGCATGCCCACAGAGAGCTTGCCACGAGAAAGGTCTCTGGTACGTATTCAAGAGGCAAGGAAAAGGAAAGGCTTCGCATAGTTTCTGTAGGTGGAGAAAGATGCGGAAGGGAGTGCTGCTAGGACACGTTGACACAACAGGCTTTTCTCTTGCCCATGCACAACGATGTTTTATTTGTTCCTCTTTCGCCCCGTCCTAACGTATGGTTGCCTTGTGGCAGGACTCCTCCGGCAAATCTAAGGGCACAGCGGTGTTCGAGTACACAGACATGGAGAACGGCCAGCTGGCTCTCAGCGGGCTGTCCGGTCTACCCGTTGGAAAGGGAAAGCTCATGGTGCAGAGGGTGCCCGCCATGATGGCCGCAACTCTGCTCAAGCCGGTCAAGGTAAAGCCGAAGTGCAATTAAATTGGTTTTCGCGTGCAATGATAGTGCCAGTTGATTGATTCGCGGATGGGCGGTGTACCTAATTTTTTCGGTGGGAGTTCTCTTGCGGCTCAAGAATTTAGGCAGCACGAAATAGCAAGCAAGGCGTTTGGACACGTCTAAGTAGGGCTTGTCATGCACCTTGTGAGGTACTTCTACAGGCGATGCACTACGTGCAATGTACATGTGATGTGTTGTCATGTACATGTGTGTTGATTGGACGCTTCAGGACGACGATGTCACTCGTTTATTCGTTTGGTTCGCACTCGGTTTAGACCATAAGGACGGCGCGAAGCACACGACTACACGCTCACCCCCAGCACCCCCAGTGTTGCTGTTGGTGGTCTAGACGTTTGGACAGAGGTATTGTTGTCCTCGTTGCTTAGCCCTACAGCACCTACTGTGCAATGCCAGTTCGTGTCCCTGCTTGTTGTCTGTGTTTTTAGTAACTCTTTCGTAGTTTCTGTCTCATGTTTGTCTAGATTCGACTCCCTTGCCCATCATCCCAACTCTCCGCTTTCCGTCTCCAATCGTCTTGCTTGGCTTGCGTGTTCTCCGCTGTTTGCTGGTGTGTGGCGTGTATGTACTTCACCTCTGTTTCGGTGTGTGTGCATGTATCATGCATAGGTGAAAGAAGTGGAGAATGAACAGGACAACGCCGAGCCTACCTGTGTCGTCCGCCTCTCCAACATGGTCGAAGTCGAGGTATGTACTGTACGTGTTGTTTTGGTTTGGTTTGGTTTTTTGGGTTTTGTGTTTTCGTTTGGACATTGCTTTAAGGAAGTCTCGTCTCGCGTGCATGCAGTATTGTATTCACGTCAAGATAGGAAAAGAATGAGCACTCGCAGAGCAGAGAAGAAAAGTATTTGAGACCATCCCACCCGACCTACAAATACTTAATTCCGTTGAACTCACTGATCATGAATCTGTATTTTACACGAGTTGCGAAGACTCGGAGGGTAGTGAAGGCGGTAGAGGGCGTGAGAAAATAGATACAGGGGGTGTAGAGGTGACTGTCTTGTGAACGTTTGTCCCTCTCCTGTCTACTCTTTACGTACGTTGCCGGTACGAGGGCGTTCGTTTTGTGTTCCGTTGTGTCATTCGTTGGGGAGGACATTTGACGTCACTTTTTGGAGGCACCGAACGTGAGTCTGCTGAGTGTACTGAAGGTCGGAGTGCCGAGTCACGTGGGTGCAGGTTGTGTAGAGATTATTTTCGAACCTTGTCAGAATATTTGCTGGTTTTGTTTGCCTTCATGACGTATATTGGTTTCTATGTGCGGCAAAAGTTGTTCCTCACGCAACACAGGTC